GACTGTTTTTAAACATTCAAATCCAAGACCATATCCTCTCCTGAGGGAGACCTACGGCTGCTTTGACCACCCTTAAAACCGGAGCTAATGACCAAATCCCCAATCTACCCCGAATGGGGCCACCATGTACCTTCGAAGCTAGAAGCCTTACCCCTGAGCTCTCAACCCTATGAGCCCTGAGGGTGCATTGCAAAAGCCAGTAAGATTACGCATCCCAGGCCGCAAGTTTGCATACATGGTTCACAGTCAGTTTCAACTGGAGTTTATACATAACATCTACAACTATAGCTGCCTACTTGTTCAAAATACCTCTTAACCCTTGACGTGAGCTGCTGAAGAACAGGAAGGCGTCATCGTCCCAGGCTTGTATAAGGCATGGGCACGAATCCGGCAACTTACGCTCCAAGAGGAAAACTTAGAACCCTAACATTACCCCAATCGGTACCTATATAACCCCTATATTATCCCTATAAACCCTAGTAGTTTCCATTTTATTTTCCATTATCCCAATATAACCCCTATATTACCCTACGCTAACCCCTACAAGAAGCAGGCCCCAGAGGGCAAATCTCAGGATCAAACCCCACCCAGTACCATTTCCTAGTAAGCCCTCAGTGTGTTTTTCATGCCGCCTTTAGGGGACCGAGCATGTATACGGGCTGAACCTTAGGTAAGGTATAGCTCCCTGAGCACGGTTATGAAGCCTGTTGCATATCCAGCTGCGCAAGCCCAGACAAGCCCAAAGAGTCTAACCAAGGCACCTCGTGGTTTCCAGTGAATTCAGCTACATTCTTTCTGGCACAAATGCGGCTAAAGAACCACAAAAGTTTCCAGAATTCTTGGGTTGGCAGGAGTGCTCACAGAACTAGAACATGGTTTTGGGCTCTCCACCTTTTTAGAGAGTTAGCGCGCTTGAGGCAGCTGGATCGGTATTTGAAGGCTTGGTTGCGCGGACTGCAATGGCAAGGCTGGCTGCTTGGAAATGATAAGCTGTGTTTCGCGAACATATTCTTTTGGGGCTTGCTTGTGTGAATTGGGAGCCATTGCCTCCAGATGCTGCCAAAGGCACGAATGGTAGCTTCCATGTACCTACAATCCCTATATATAAGACTCTACATCAAATGAGGCGGCCGGGACCCACCAAAAGCCCTGAATCCCTGTTGTTGCAGCAGGCTTCTACCTGGGCACATGGTTGCCTTGAAGCTGCCAACCCTGAGGTCCTGCACTCATCGCATGCCCTGAGCAGCTAGACCCCAGAACCTTACGCTGGATGGAGAAAATCTTGCGCGACTTACTTGGAGGGTCGGGGGGACTAGTAAGTAGGTTAATAACCCCTACAACCCATATAGTAACACCAATTACCCCCATTATTAGCCTACCTAATAAGTCCCCCTGACCCTCCAAGTAAGACCCCCAAGATGTTGCAATCTTTAAGGTATGAGGTATACCGGGTGGTGAAAGAAGTCCTTCATCCACAGCATCACTCTCCTGATAGAACAGCCCTGCCAAGCCCTGTAGTTTGCTCTAACTGCGGCTTGGGTGCTGAAAGCGTGCCCTCGACCTCCGATTGCTGTTGAGAGGCAGATTTGAAGCAAAAATGCTCAGGGGCTTAGGGCTAGGGTTTGAGTTTTAGCTTCTAGGGGCACAAGGTCCCTAGACCTTCAGGCACCCCAAAAATCTGGCAGGTTAAGGCTGAATTATTCGTTTGGGTGGAAGGGGGTGCAGACATGACAAACGTGGACCATGCTTTTAAACTTTTGATCTAGGCATCATGGCCTTACACTGGTGAACCCTAAGCCCTAAATCCTATGCAATATAGTAGTCTCAATCCTCTTTGCCAGTATTGTGACCCTTTAGATTGGGGACCCTTGGCATCAACCCTAAACCCTAAACCCTTGGCATCATGGCCTTCAACTGGTAGTTGAGAAGCGCTTCCTGCACTGTATGGGAGGCTCCGGTGGCTGCGCTGACCTTGGTGGCACAATGACGGAGGTACGAAGATTAAATTAGGGCGTAAGGTTGAGGGTTTAGGGTTTCAGGCTTGAGGTTTAGGCATAAGGGTTTAGGGCTTAATAAGGTTTGGGCATAAGGGTCTAGGGTTTCGGGTTTAGGGCTTAAGGTTTAGGTATGAGGGTTTAGGGGAGCTGAGACAGGAAATCAGGAGTTGTAGCATTCTTGACACTTTTTGTGAGGATGGGTGGGGCATGCTACTTGGAGGGTCAGGGGGACTTAGTAAGTAGGTTAATAACACCTATAACCCCTTTAGTAACCCCAATTATCCTCCCCATCCTTAACCCACTTACTAAGCCCCCCCGACCCTCCAAGTAGCCTTGAGAAAACATGGAAGATGTCTCTTTGAGCTTTGGGCCGGCCACCTCCATGTATTTACGTAGTAGGATCGATTCCTGGAGGGCCTGAAATAGGACAGACCCCACAAGAAGGACCCTCAGAAGGAGTTCAGAGGGAACCCAGAGGTTTCTTAGAGGATCAGTACTATCTGTGGTTTATAATCCTCCTGAAGTAGATAGAATATGGCTTGGGATATATTCTAATAAGATTTCCATATACTTCATACTTTATCTACTTAAGGGGGACTATAGGGTTTAGGGTTTAAGCTCAACCTTGCAGGTGATTTTTGCGCAGCATGGCGAAATATCATGGTGCTGGTGCAGGGGGTAAGGTTGAGGATTTGTGTCAGGACTGCATCTTCACGTAAAACGGTTGAGCGACATATGCTCAAGGTAGCAACCTAAAACCTTAGACCCTACTGGTAAGCCCAAATACCTTCAGTTTCATGGGGTATACAGAAAATTTTGGGGTGTAGTTACAACTAAACGGTAGATAATTGAAGTCTCACACCCAAAACAAGGTCTCAGAGGATTTGGGCAGCTCACAAGTGAACAAACAATGTTGCCATCTGAGAGGTACAGGAAACCCCAAACCAATCTTGTAACATCTTTATAGGGACCTGCAATGTCATACTGGGTTTAGGGTTCAGGGCCGGGAATCTACGGGACTATATAGGATTGTATGGGGGCACATATGGATCTCTGGGGAGATATAGGGGTATATAAGAATATCCTACCACATAGAGGTTTATAAAGGGTACACACTGAGGCAGGCGGACGTCTGCACATCATCTGGCTCGGCTGGGGCTTCCTGTTACATTTTCGGAAATCTGCTGCAAACAGTTTACGAGGCCAGACTTGCATTCAAAACCTGGGTTGGCCCCTAAAACCATTTGAAAAATATCAGTATATAGGGTCCCTTATTTAAGCCATTAGGGAAAATATTAAATGTCCCAGGGGCCTACCCAGATACACGAGGTATTTGAAAGCCCCGTTACTTCAACGCGCGGCCGGTCGCCAAATTCAAGGTCATCGTGTCGTAGTACAAACCTGGCTTACAACGACCCGTCACATTTCTGTGAGTGAGGTCTTTCGAGGGCGCCTGTTTCGCGACCACATGCCAAAACTTCTTTTTGCTTAGGGGAGCGTCTGGGGCTGGATCCCCATAATACTACCGCATATTCACCTTGAATGTTCTCCTAACCCCAATATATGCCCTGCAATATAGTGGTTTCCATTTTCTTTTCTATCATCCCCACTACAACCCTAATATATACCCTATATGATCCCTATAAGCCCTGGTAGTTTCCATTTTATTTTCCACTATCCTATAACATTCTATATCCCCTAGATTACGGTTTGGGCTTTTAGAGGCCCTTCATTCACTCCAGAACTCTGACCTTAAGCACCAAGAGAATGCAGTTTCCCTAAGTTAGGGGTACCTTTTTGGGGGTCCCTATAATAAGGACAGTAGTATTTTGGGGTCTATATTGGGGGACCGTAATTTTGGGAAACTACCAGAAGCCTGCTGAAGCAACTTGATTCTTCGAGCGCCATGCCTGCTTGTCTTCCACGGCCAGCGTCCCGTAAGGTGAGTTTGCCTATGGCACTGTGGACGAGAAGAAAAGTATTTTCTTCCCATAGCCTTGAAAGCTAGTGACTAATGATGATGCTGGTAAACGCAGCGCATGGGAGTTGCTCAACTTTGCAACTAGCTGTTTTTTGGATGGTTGCGTGCCCCGCCCTATAGCATCATGTCGGGCTCATAGGGGGATCCTGATTGTTGGAACCTCCCACATCCTGCGCACAGTCTACTGTAGAAGCCCGGACCATAATATCATACCTACCTTCTCTCAGTTATACGAGTAATGTTTATCTTGCTGTAGTAATTCTGCTGTAGTTTAAGATGTCCCAAGCCTGAATGTAGGGGCCTAGATGAGTATCAAGCCGGTTGTGGTATGCCATAGTTATGCGAGGAATCTATGGTCATAAAAAGGGTAGTTATCCCGATAAAGCTACCGTTAAAAAACGACTTTCACATTCGATTGAACATGTTCTTTTCCATTTGATTCTCCATTCTCCCTTTTAAACCAGGACTCTCTGAGGTGCCTGCAGCCACACGAACAGGTGTCAGCCAGATTCTCCCTAAACCCTAAACCCTAAATAGCCCGTGTAACTACTGCCAGGGAACCTCAATCTTGGTCATTATTGGGGCCCGTACTTAACCCTGAGCCCTAGACCCCAAATATCCCCTGTAAGCCCCTAACGTACTGTAGCATTCGAGACTTTTTTGCCCCTATATTCCACTGGAGCCCGAGAGCGTAAACTACAAAGGCCACCTTCGCTGTCCCGTGACACATGAATTCTGAAAATTGGAGTCCCCAGCTGTTGCAAAGCCAATTGGGAAAATCTAGAATTGGGTCAACGAGCTAATGGTGAAACTCAAGCGGCAAAGGCTCTTTTGCTGCTGTGCACTGCGGTCTGCTGGAAGCGAGTGGTGGAAACCAGCTAGGAGCATCCGGTTGCGCGGTATAAACCAAGGTCAGCTAGCTCAAAAGACAAGGGCTTGCAGGACATGAGCACTATCATTTCCCGCCTAAGTATGACGTAACCAAGCAACGGGCATGCGCCTGCAAACAGTCAGCGAGCTGGCTACATGACGCGGCCAACTGCTGCACCGGAACGTTCCTTCGGAGGCGCGACTTTGCGCAGCTTTGCGCCCGCACGGATGTCTGCAAACCTGTCTTCTGTTATTCTTGGGATGGTATTATTTAGGATTGCACTTTTTGTCTTGGCGTACTTCAAATACAAAACTCCCAACTTTGGCTCAGTAGCATTGCCGACTTTCCTGCTGCAGCCTGTTTCGTGGGTGCAGGCGCTTTTGCAGCCGGTGCCTTCTTTGCAGGCGGTGGTGGCGGCGCAGGACCCTTTCCTTTGCCTTTGCCTTTGCCTTTGGCCGCAGGCTTCGGCGGCGCAGGTGCCGGAGCTGGGGCTGGGGTTGGCGCGGCCTGCGGCTGAGGCACCGGTGGTTGAGCTGCCTGGAGCTTAGCTGTCTGAGCTTGCGCGGGGGCAGGCATGGGGCTTGCTGGGCTTGGGGCTAGCAACGGCTGAGGTGCGGCTGCCGGCTTTGGCGGTGCTGCCGGAGGCTGCCGGCGAGGTGCAGGCGGTGGTGGCCGCGCAGGCTTTGGGGTAGCACTGACGATGGAGCCTCGGCTGAGCTCCGGAGGGGGAGCATCCCAAGCAGGTCTTGCTGTTTCGCTGGAATGCTCGCCCTCGCGCCAGACAATGTGCGCCACATGACCAAGGTCCGGCAAGACATCTGGCAGGTCGAACGTGACTTCAGCAGCTGGCCGGGGCCGAAAGCGCAAGTCCTCATGTTCTCGCGCCGGCTCATCTTCTTCCAAGTCAACATCTGGCTCCTGTTTGGCAAATCATCCAAGACTCCGACTAACAGTTCGTGACAGTTGAAGGCATCTAGTAAACTTAGCAGACATAACAACCTTACAGGTGCATTTTTGCTACCTAAACCCTAAACCCTAGATAACCCCATTGTAGTAGTTTCCATTTTCTTTTCCATGATCCCAATATAACCCTCCTCTGCAATGACCTTCGGTGCTTCTGTGCGCTGACCAACGTGGTAGAACCTCTCATCCTCAGGCTCAGCCAGGTTGTCCACCTCGTGCCGCACCTTTGCATGATGGCCCCGGAGCAATTTTTGCCCTGGCAATACAGAAGTTTGAAGCGGTATGAACATAGAACAGCGGGAGATGTTTCATGGGGGAAGGCTATGCCTTTGTTGGGGAGATTTGGTTTGGACAAAAAATGCAACTGTGATGATGATGATGATGATGATGATGATGATTGCTGCTGCTGGTGCTGCTGCTGCTGCTGCCGCTGCTGCTGTCGCTGCCGCCGCCATTCGCAAGAGGTCTTTGAAAGACGCCCGGTCATGAACTCATAGATTGTAAACTTCTGACCTCTTTGGGAAGCTACGTGTGAGTAGACTTGCTCCGGAATCAATGGACACAATATCTACGACCACCCTGCCTTCAAAAATCCTGAATGCGCCATGTCGGCTGTTTCTGCGCCTTTACTCCTGCAACGGAACCACCCTAACTCCGTCTGTGATCGAAGCAAAGCCTAAACCCTACACCCTAAACCCTAAGCCCTAAACCCTATACCCTAAGCCCTACACCCTAAGCCCTAAACCCCTTAACCTCTCAACCCTAAACCCCTGATCCCCTAAACCCCTAAACCTTAAACCCCTAAACCTCTAAGCCCTAAACCCCTAAACCCGAAACCCTAAACCCACCTTGTAGGGCAGCTCTGATGAGTTAAGAAGGAAGAGCTCGGATACAGAAGTCAGGCGCCCGGCAGCGGGAAGAAGTTTTTCCTGGGTTGCTGTGAAGGAACTTGACTTAAGTTACCATAAAGGGTGTAATAGGGTTTAGGGTTTGGGGTTGCTGTTAAAGAACTTGAATTAAGTTACCATAAAGGGTGTAATAGGGTGTAGGGTTTGGGGTTTAGGTAGTATATAGGGTTTAGGGTTTAGGGCTTAAGTTACCAACATGGGTATATATATATATAAAGAATTCATAGCGTTCCCACATTATAGTAACTTAAAGTAAATTCCTTATTGAAAGCAACCCAGTCTCCTGGACCATGGCTCTAGGAGCCTCCAAGCCTGGCTTGCAGACGCTCTCTCAAATCAGGAAGTTTTCCTTTGTACTCTAGGGTTTGGGCCCTTGGGTTTTGGGCCTCTAAACCATGGAATATGGCCCTTAATGAGGCCTTTTGGGACCCAAAACCTAAGGTTACAAACATTAAGGGCGCAAACTTAAAGTCTTTGATCAAAAAGAGCCATAACACCCTGGGAAGATATGGGAACCTACCAAGGAAATCAGGGGCTCCCGTTTGAAGGGCTTTCGAAGACATATTTGGAGCCACTCCCACTCCGACCATGAACTGCAACTCCAAAAAGGATGCTTTGGGTTTAGGGTCTGCTCTAGGATCAACAGTTAAGAGGAAGAAATATCAAATATGGCAAACCCTTAGACCCGTAGGGCGGACATCCAGGTTGCACTGCGCCCAGGTGGCGGCTACATGGGCAAGGTTGTAGGGATGATCCACTAAGTGGTTTCCAGGGAATCCAGCCATTCATCCTAAAAATCCTGAAGCCCAAAACCCAAAACCATAGCCTTGGTTGCTGTTCAGGACCTTGACTTAATTACGATTTTGGGAAAATCATATGAATTAATTACTATATTGGGGAAAACATATGGACTACTATATATGTACCCATTATGGTGACTTAATTTAAATTCCTCAACAGCAACCCAGTAATAGAGGCGAGCAGCTTCTGTGGTGGTTCACGCACCGGTACACCCTGGCCAGGTCCTGGAACTGTATAGTTCTCCACAAGTAGAGGAAACAGATGGGATACAGGGCTAGGGTTTACGGTTTAGGGTTTAGGGTATATAGGATTATTATCTCAATGATGATGGAGAATCAACTGAAAAAAGCAGATGGAAAGTGATATGGGGATTATATAGTGGTTTATTGGGGATTATATAATGGTTTATAGAGCGTAGGGTTTCCGAATTGTATGTCATCTTTGGTGGTCCGTAAAATACGGATTCTAGCATTTTGGGGTCTATATTGGTATCCAGCTATTGATGGAGACTACCATATTGCTCCCTTGAGTGATGCAGGCCAGACACTATCATCTTAGCCCCCATTCGCGTCAGAATAAGACGGATCCCCTTTGCAAATGCACCCGCGCAAAGAAACACACCTAATACACTCTTCGTGAAAACAACCCGAGTGGTTAAGCATTCAGCCCACATACCGAAGAGAAGAGTCCATATACGCCCTCAAAGAGAAGCTTCAAATAATTTAGGGGTCTCATAAAAAGTCTGGGGTATACCCAAAAGATTCGCATTCTTACCGTGATGCCACCCGCCCTCACCCCCACCCCACTCTCCGCAAAACAAAGCTGGACAGCTTAAAAGAAAATATTGAATTCTCAACGTCGTTCGCGTTTAAAGATCTATGCATCCTTTTTTCTTCAATGCCCTTGCTGAGACCTCGGACCATATATATCCCTACATAACTCCTATAAACCCCTATACCCCCCCCACCCTAAACCCTAAACCCTAAACCCTAAGCCCTAAACCCTAACGTGTAAAAATTCCCAGCCCTCACATCCTCAGCCGCGGAGGTTGCAGAAGGGACTGGGCGATCAAAGTCCTCAGGAATGGGCGCCGCGGAACGCAGGGAGACCACAATGTTCCTGGGCTTTGAGGGTTTGAGGGTTTGGGGTTTAGGGTTTCGGGTTTTGGTGGTTTTGGGGAATTAGTTTGGTTTTGGGCGTTTCTTTCATATTTGAGAATCTTGGTGCTGTTGTGTGTGTGTGTGTGTTTTTTTTTTTGCCCCGGGGGGAGGGGGGGGGTGGGCTTAGGGTTTGGGGTTTTTCGGGTCTTATAGACTTTCGGGTTTACGGTGCAGGGCGTGGAAAATCAAATGGAAGATAGAACGGAGGGGTCAAGGGTCTGGGGTAATCTTGCTGGTGGTCGACTGACATAGGGAACGAAGGAGTGGGCAAGAAACGGGTGAGAAAATGGATGCTATGATGAGGTTTAGGATGGTGAGCAGGCACTCAAAGACTGTAAAGAAAAAGGAAACTACTAATCATTTCGCGCCTAATACTAACATGAGGGGGGAGGAGGGGGGTGGGAGGAGGGGTGGGAGGAGGGGCGGGGGGGGGGGAGGGTTAGCCCTTTAATCTCAGGGGAAAAAACTATAGTGTTTTGAGGCTCAGGGCTTAGGCTGGTAAGTATGGAATGAGGGGATGGAAAGGACAATGGAAGCTACCATGACTACGGGTTTTTTCTTCTATGGAGTAGGTCCCAAGGAGGCCAGCAACTGGAGATGATTTTCTGGCAAGGACATGTTAGGTTTACTATAGAGAATATTCAATACTAGGAAGGACTAATCTCCAAACCTCCAAGGCGTTCATGAATACTTGTAGGGTCATAAGTTCCCCGCCCCCAATAAGCTCAAAAACACGGATAGTTCCGGCTATCCTGCTTGTAAACAGTGGCCTAACACCTCCAGGCCAGAAGCCAGACCGCAAACCCAAATCCTAAAATCGAGTCCCCAAGCCCTCAATCGCCTAAACCCTAAAAAGCCCCAAGTATCCCCATACACACCCCTATATACACGCACCGCCGTAAACCACCCATGAACTGTACACCAATATACCCCAATAGTCCACTAGTAGGACCCCTCCTAAAGCCTCAGCACCCGAGATTCTCGTCCAGCACCCGTCGCGCCGCGTGCAAGCCAGGTTCGCCCCGGCCCTGAAAGGTCCGGGCCTTCAGTCCATTTGAGAGAAGAGGAAGGACATATTAAGAAATCATTGATAGTAATTTGGGTTTCGTTTAGGGGCCATGGTAACTGACAAACTATCCACCCATGCTATTAAATGTCCACCCCCTCATTGTCGGCTTCTCATGGGGAATATTTGAAAATTGGGATTTCTCCCTCGGTGCTGAATCTTAATTAGTATGAAAAGAGTAAGGGTAATATTCACAATCATGGTATTTTCACCCATAATAGTAAAATGCCAAGAATCATTGCTCTAGTAATGATAACTGTCATAAGAACGCGGTAATAGCAATTGTGATGCCAGTAGTAACAGGAACAGGAGCCTGATTTCTAGATGAACCGTTGTTGTATTCCGATAGCCTTCGTGCACCCGTGCTGAGAAACACTCCCTGTGCGTGAATCTTCTGTAGATAGTGGTAAACATGAAGTCATGCGTACAGCCAAGTAAAGCCAATTTAGTGGGTGTTCAGAAGTATTTAAACTCCACATTATACTCGAGAATTCTGCTAAATCCTAAACCCTAAAGCCCAAACCTTCTTCACATTCTACACGATGACCCAGGGGCGCTGTGTACTTTCAAGGCCGCTGTGCTCCCGCGTGCTCGCTCGATGCGCCCGCTGGCATGTGAGAGGCGGGATTCCAAGCCCGAGAGCCTGGTTTAGGGTTTCGGGTTCAGGGTTCAGGTTTT